AACAACTGAGTCACTACAGGGAACAACTGAGTCACCAAAGGAAAGAACCATTTTAAAGAATAAAAAGTTGAACAGTTTCAGGAACTAAAAACATGGAGTTAAAACTCAGAACTGAGTCCCGTCAGGGAACCCGTCCATCACACGTCCACATTTAAGATCAAAGACAGGAATAAATGATTTGATGAAACAAGTTTAAATTAGTATGAAACAAACAACCAGTTTGACAGAATAAATAATAATAATAATAATAATAATAATAATAACAACAATAAATACATTTCAGGAACAAATCCAGACTCTGGACAACGACGTGACTTCAGTGAAAAGAAACTGAAGGAAAAGTCTCATAAATGATAATAAATGAGCAGAAAACCGTCTTGAGTTACAGATAAATAACGGAACCGGATTCATTTGGTTCTGGTTCAGGATTTGGCAGGTTTGGACCAAGACCATGTTTTAATGTGAATTTCTGATGATTCACGACTCCAACTTGTTCTGATTTGGCTTTAGAAGTGTTGGTTCTGGAAATGGATCCAGAACTAAACTTTCATGGTGTTGGTCCACAAGCAGAAGACGAAGGCTGAAAACGCTGGACTTAAACATGCAGACGTTGATGTTCAGTGAACATCAGTGTTCAGACTAAACGTGACCAAACATCTTCTCACTTCAACTCTGGAATCTGTCTTTTGTCTCAAACTAAAATCCAAACTTTAAATTCTGATTTCAGAAACTTTCGCATCGTCACACTTCAACACTATTTCACAGTCTGAGCTTCACAAACGTTCCCATCAGCGAGGTTTGTCCCTGCTCAGCCTCCGTCCGACTCCGGTTTGCAGACAAATGAGTTAAACTGGGTGAGTTAACCCGGTTGACCCGGCGGTTGGCAGACAGAACTGTGGCAAAGCAACATGGCACAAGACGATAAACACAGAAGCAACGGTGAGTCTGCAGTCCAGGCTTTGTGTTATTTGATGTTCTTGAGCAGCGACGTTCTGGCGTTCACCACCGCCTTGAAGGCGTCTTCGCTGCCCGGAGCCACACATTTATCTGGATGCAGCAGAACCGCCAGCTTCCTGTACGCCTTGTTCACCTCCTCCCTGGAAACAACACAGCCGGAACCAAACAGTTACACCGACACGTCAGAACACACCAGAACACACCAGAACACACCAGAACATTCAGAGACACGAAACCGCTGACGGGTTTAAACGAGAAGGTTCAGAAGAGTCGCCGACGACTTGAGAGGACGTCGATGTTCAGATCTGAGCCGGAAACATTTAAATCGCTTCATTCTCCGTCTCAGTTAAAAATCCATCCAACTGGACCAATGAATGAATGCAGCACGGATCAGAACCAGAGAACAGAGGAGCCAGCTGGTGGAGATACATTCAGCTGATGGTGGAACATCTTTCTACAGCTGATGAGCAGAGAGGAGACGTCCGGAGACGGTTCAACTTCTGCAGGACCAGGAGACCACATGAGCTCCAGGGTCTAACATCTGGAGAGCTGCTGCTTCCTGGTTTTTATACGTATGTTTTCATGAAGATTTGTTTTCTTATGTTTTTGAAAATGACTTCTTAGACGAAGCAGCATTTCTGTTTCACGACTCCTGCACATCGTCTAACGAGACAAAACCCTTTACGATGATGAAAAGAGCCCACGTGGGTAAAAAAGAGCCCACGTGGGTAAACTGTGGCATCAGTCCAGCGCAGACTCACCGTGTGGCGCCGGGCTTCACGCCCAACATATCCCAGGAGTCCTTGCTGTTGCGGATGCGTCGGATGGTGTCGGCCTGCTCCTTGGTGAAGCCCACGCTGACTTCGGTGGCCGGGCGCTTCCCGCCATTTTCGCACATGTCGGTGATGGAGGAGAAGAAGGCCTGCGGAGGACACGGCGCTCAGAAAGAGGTCGACAACACAAGTGACGGCTTGAACGGTGACGCACCTGAAACATCTCGTTGATGCCTTCGCCGCTCTGCGCCGACGTCTCAAAGTAATGGAACCCTCTAGACTCCGCCCACAGACGGCCCTCGCCTTCGTCCACCACCCGCCGCTTCGTCAGGTCCACCTGCAGTCAACCAGAGCTCAGACTGAAGCATGAACACATTCATTACACAGCGAGACACGAGAACACGCTTCCAGGTGGTGTTTACGTGGTGGGTGGAGCTCGCAAAGTCTCTGCCTCTGATTGGTGGAGGGTGTAGCCTGTCTCTGATTGGCTGCAACTCACCTTGTTTGCGCAGACGATGAACACGATGCTGTCCATGTTGGCCTGCGATCCCATTTCCTGCTTCATCTCGCCGAGCCAGGAGTCGAGGGCGTCGAAGCTTTCTCTGAGACCGACGTCGTAAACCAGAAGAACGCCCTGACTGTCCTTATAGAACTCATTACGCACCTGAGACACCACAGAAGAAGACAGATGACACCACAGAAGAAGACACCACAGAAGAAGACACCACAGAAGAAGACACCACAGAAGAAGACGGGTGTTCCTCACCTCGTAGAAGAAGGGGTGTCCGGCCATGTCGAAGATGTTCACTTTGATTTCTCGGTCTCGTACCTGCACTCTGAAGCAACACATATTATGAGTTTGAACACACCTGAACACACCTGAACACACCTGAACACACCTGATCACACCTGAACACACAGCCACAGTGTGGGACTCACTTGGTGACGCCGTAGTCGATGCCAATGGTGGCCAGATACTTCGGGACGAACCTCTTCTCACAGTAACGCTTGATGATGCAGCTCTGAGAGGCAGAACAGAGCTCTTTCACACCAGAGTCCATTTAAAAAACAGGCAGTTTAAGACTGACCCGGACAGACTCAGTCCACTGAAGCCTGTGAAGGTCCATTTCTCTGCTAAATGCAGACGGCAGCAGATTGAAGTCTTGTGTGGAAGACGGAGACGCTTTAAATGAATCTTTGTTCCAGTTCACACCACAAACAGTAAAACAGAAAAACCAACATTTTAGAATGACGGGTTCGTTCAGGACCCGGACTCTGAGCTGGTTTCTTACCGCGAACGTTATTTCAATTTAAGACACATTTTCACTTTTAAAATGTAATAAGCGAAATATATGATGATTTCAGAACTATTAGAGTCTCTTGAATAGCTCGGCTCGAACATGATCCACAAAGCTGGAACCACGGTCAGGGTTTGGGTTCAGCGGTCATCAGTGGACTCATTACAGCAAATAAGACAGAAAGATTCACACGTGTGGTTCCGTGGGACGGTTCGTGGTTAAAACCAAATTAACGGATTTTTTTTTCTGGCGTCAGATTAAAAGCATGAACATCAAGAAAGCTCAGGAAGAGCAGAAATGTCCACGGTCAGAGCCAGAAGACTCTCCACAGCTGATGAATATCTGACTGAAACCTGCCAGACTTCATTTAAATTCTGTCTAATTTAAGCTGCCGGTCCCTTACCTTTCCCACCTCGGCGTTCCCGAGGCTGATCACCTTCACCCGCAGAGACTTCTTGTTGTCTCGTCTTTTCGGCGCATTTGTTTCCATTTGCACACTTTTTAAATGTGCGCTTCTTGCGGTAAAATGTGCGTCTGCGGACTGAGCAACAAACGCAGGGATTCCGTGTTGTTGTTGGGAGCGAAGCTAGCTGTCAGCTGTTCTTACTCCGGCTGCTAATTAGCTCGTTAATGAAGCTGAATCATCATCCAGTTAATTAATGAACGCGTCGCATTGTTTCACTTTAGCATTGATGCTAACGCTGCGGTTGAGCTGCCATTATAACACACAGCAGCGCAGGCTAAATGCTAAATGCTAACCAGCTGTTTGCTAGCGTCCAGTTAGCCGCGGTTAGCATGAACACTACGTCCTGTACATTTCAAAATAAAACTCTTCTTAGCGGAAACTGCAACAGAGAAGTTTTATTTTTTTTAAAATACACAAAATAGTCACAAATAAACCCCAAACAACACGAAAGGCCTTCAAATATCACTTCACTAAACTTGCTCCAAGCTGATAAAACACTGAACTCTTGAATTCACTGCGAGGTTTTCGTTTCGTATCCACGGATTCATTTGAAACACATTTTAAGACCAGAGACATTTTTAAAACAGGATTTTAATAATGAAGCAACACAAAGCAACATAACTGCTGTTAAAACAGCACAGATTCTCAGGAAAGCATCAGAACAACAAACAACTCATTTAAATGTTCAGATCCTGTCAGAAAAACACAAGAAGATGAAAAATGGATTCAAACGTTTGTAATATTTTGTAAAAACAAGAACCTGAATCTAAACAAACAGTAAAACATGAAAGCTGCATTCAGGCACCAAACAGGAAAAAGAAAGAATCAAAGTAAAATACATTTTGTGATGAGAAATCCAGATTATAGAAAAAATCTAATCAACGAGATGTGACGTCATGTTTCCGCATTTCACCAACAAATGATGGATTTTCTGAATTCTCTTTGAATATTTGTTCACTTGTGTGTTTATTTATGGGATTCTCTTCAAAACGTCGAGTTCCGGCCGATGCAGCTTCACGTCTGGTATTTATTGAACTCTGCAGCTTTCTTTTCTCCATCGTTGTCGTTCGATGATGTGAATTTTCTGCCAGTTTGAAGCTGCATTAATTTAACTCCAGAACGTTTTACATTTAGATTGACAGTAACTTTAACCCTTCATCATCCCCTCAACAATCCATTTGAAGTTAAAAAAGATCTTTTTTAATGACATGACGATTGTCTTGAGTTTAAATATAATCAGAAAGTTCTGTGACTGGAGCTGCTGCTGAGGATTTAATCCCAAAACCAGCAACGTTTATTATTTAGTCTAATTATTTGGTGCTTTTCCTGAAAAATGACAGAAATGATGAAAATAACTTCCTGTGAAGTAAAATGCGACGTGTTGAGCAGAACCAGCTTCATCCCAGAACTCAGTCGGTTTAAAGACAAACTCAAGATTTTCACAATTTTGTGGAAAAAACGGAAACTTTTGTCATTTTCAATCCTGAATGTTTGCAAATGAATCAGATTTTTATAAAAGTTTTGTTTGAAAATGCAACAATAAAAAACGTAAAGAACAGATTTTTCTGACTGTTCAGATTCAAACCTTCCAATCTGTGGAATTCAAAACGTTCTGATCGGTTCTGGTTCCATGAAACAAGAACTCTGGTTGTTAGCGAAGCGGCTGCATCTGCAGCGAGTCGTAGGTGTCTCTGGTGGCAGAACTCAGACCCTGAACAGATCAATGATCAGTCGGTTAGCGATCAGTGATCAGTCTGATGGGAGATCAATGACATGAACAGAAGGTTTAGAAGAACGTTCTCACCTGGTACACCTGCTCGTTCTTCCTCTGACGCTGAAACATCAAAAACCAGTTGTCAATAAATCTGATCAAATGTGTTTCCTGTCATAAAGAACCTGAAGAACCTGAAGAACGTCTGACCTCTCGCTTCACAGGAAGTTCTTTATATTCTCCGTCCGGACGTTTGGTCAGATCCTGAAATTAGAACCAGTGACTTTGATCAGTTTATGGAGTTACAAAGTTGAACAAGTGAAAAAAGCTGCAGAACCACCAGAGAACCAAACATTGGGGAACTGAAAATGAGAACACTGTTTGTTACCGTGTAGGTGTCGTCATCAGGTCTGCGGTTCTACAAGACAGAACATCACAGAGAGAAATCAGTTCAGATTCAGCACGTTCTGAAACATTTAGAGGGTGAATGTTGTTCTATGTAGGGTTCTAGAACCCTGTCATTTCTGTTCTTAGCTGTTGTAAACAAGCACAAAGGAAGGTTCTCCAATCTTTCACAGTCTGTCATGATTCCAGAGGAACTGTTCTCTTGTTGTTCAGGCTTCTGTGGACATTAGTCTGAGAACTACAGCATCCATGAAGGTTCTTTCTGGGCTTCGCTGTCTTGAGTTCACTGTTGGTTCTCAGGTTCCTTTGGACTTTTTGGGTTTCTATGAGGGTTCAGTTGAGGTTCTTTGTGGGTTTTGTGGAGACTGACACTGTTCTTTAGTCCAGGGTTTCTCAGACTGGGTTCTCTGGAGTTTGTTGGATTCTGTTAAGACAGTCTTGACTTTGTCATGTTTCAAGGTTCTTTGTTCTTTTGGGTTCTTTCAGTGTTCCTTGGGGACTGTTCTCTACTTGGGTAATTTTCTTTTTATCAGAGATCTTCTCTGTTCTTTAAAGATTCTTTTCATGTTCTTCAATGTTCATTGAAAGCAAGCGTTCTTTCAATGTTCCTTCGGGATTTGATTGTTCCCCGAGTTCTCTGGGTCTTAGTTTGTCACTGAGTCTTTAGAGTTCTCATCTCCTTCAGCAGGTGTTTGGGGTTCTACAGAGTTTGTTAAGGTTCTTTCAAGGTTCTCATCTCTTATCCACGATGTGGTTCCAGAGGATCTGTCAAGAACTTTTCAGAGCTGTTCAGAGCTTTGTCATAATTTTATGGTTCAGAATCTTGAGAGAACCTTAAAAGGACCGAAGACAGAGACACAATAACGGGATTCTGATCTGCGTCGTTCAGAATCAACACCACAAACGTTCTCTGTAGAACAAATGGAGAACCAACTGAAGGGAACTTTCTGAAGCATGACTGTTAGACTTTCTGGTTCTGCTGTAGAACCACAGCGGACTTACTCTTCCTTTTTCCGGGTCTCTCCTCAGTGGGTAACTTCCAGAACCCTGACCTGCCAGATCCTGAAGACGAGAACATTTCAATTTTCATCAGTTGTGAAGATTTAATAGAACCAAAGAGAACAAACGACAACAGACTGGAGGTTTTCTGCATCAGTTAATGGTGACTCACGCTGTAGATGTTCTCATCCTTCACTTTGGTTCTGAAGAACTGAAAACAAACAGTAACGACGCTTAATGAACAAAGTGGAGAAATCAGGAACAGAGACGCTCTTCAGTCTTAGTTCTTTAGATAAATGAATGAAACAGAGAGAAGCAGCAGAGTTTCCCGTTAGAACCGACCTTCTCCTTGATGAACATGCCGGTGATGATGAGGCCATAAAGTCCGAGGAACCCGTCCAGAATGTAACAGAGCTCAGGACCGTACATCTCCATCGCCTCTGTGGAGCCAGAAGAACAAAATTCATAAGAAAACTTAATGGACTCTGGTGGAAAGACGCACATTGAAACACTGACACTGCAGTAAAACATCTTCAGTTGAACAAAATGCCTGCTCACTTGACAACATAC